GAATGTCAAGGTCTTTTGAACAACTTCAGAAGTGTATAAAGAATGGGATCATACCATATGAATAACACATCCAACAGATTGTTTTGCAAGAAGCTAAATTTCACTAATAAGCTAAAGAAGGGGACAATTTAGATCTTCAACACACCCATAGCATTTAAAAAAAATTTAGCAGATTCTGAATAAAAAAACCCCACAAACTGCCAATTAGAAAAAAGAAAAAAGGTTTCTCTGGGCAGGGAGGGGTCTACAAAGGCATTTATTGCCACACCCGGCCCCTTTCCACCACTCTTACAGCCATATACTCATCAGACCCACATGGGCCTATCAAGACAGGAGCCCGAGCAGAGCAGGGCTCTAGAAAGAAGCTCTCCATTCCCTTGGTCTCCCTTAGAAACTCAGAATTAGAAACTCTCCATTCCCTCGATCTCGCATGTCAAAACATGGTGCACAAGCTGGGCTTGCTTTGGATGGGCCCAATTCTATAGAAGCAACTCATCATTCCGTATGATACAAATACTCTTTAAAAAAAAAAAAAAAAGCCAGAAACTACATCCAAAAGCAGCAGAAATGCAGGCACCCTGTATTAATGGAGCCAATAATAATGTACCATACTGGAAGGAAAAGGACCCTTGTTATCAGAGGCCTTTGCTGAGCCCATTAGCCACCAAACACACTCTGCAACATACATTCAACACAAGTTTTGTCTGCAGCTTCTACCTTTGCCTGCTTAGTGAAACAACAGCTACTGGTGCTCCAAGATTGATTTTTCCTCCCCATGTCAATCACCGACAACAACAGCAAATCATCAGCACCCGTTACAACTTTGGCACCTGCAGCCAACAACCAGCCCCAATGCTTTTCAGGTAGGTTTGGTACCAGATTCACCATTGAAAAAAGATTCACTGTTGAAACTGCAGTTTCAATCTAGTAATGCACAAGAAGGTACATCCCCAGCTCTCCACCTTGCTTTCCCACTTGAATCGCAGGCCTTAAGCACAGTAGCATCGCACCTTCTCTGCGAGGGCAGCCCTGCAGACTGCCAATTAATGGTGTGAGGCAGCAGATTTCCCACAAAAACTAGCAGAAACATCCTCTGAGCTTCAGCAAAACTTGGAAGTCACTGGGCAGGGACTACACAGCTGAAGTAAATAGCGATGGCCACTCTCCTGACAACTGCTACACCAACTTCTAGCTCGCACAGCAGCAGAAAATTCATACACCAATCATATGTTAAGCCCCAGTTTTCTTATCCCAAAAGGACAAAAGCCAGTTGTTACGTAAAAGTGGGAATGCTGATGCACCTCATAGCTATGGGCTTGCATATTGACGACAAAGGCGAGACCAGTATTTTGGACTGGGCAGAAGAACGAGGAACACATTGCCAGAGAGCTGTCAAGAGCCCTGCTCTTCTCACACAGCTCCAGGTTTCCAGTAGGCACTGCCATCTTCACTCCTTCAGACTGTTACTATTTGCCATATTCTTGCAATTCAGCCTCTGCTGAAATTCAAGACCAAGATTATGTCACCCTAGTCTGCCTCTACCCCAAAGGAGATGGAAGCAGCACCTTTGCCATATAAGAATTAGCAGGAGGATACAGAAACTCTTAGACGTAGCAGAAACTTGGGATAGTTCCTCAACAGCCTTCAACCAGAAGCCTGTGTTTCCTCTGAACGCTATGTGATGTGAGCAAGGAAAAAAACCACACTTTGCAGAAGTGGTTTGTGCAACGAAATCAAGCAGCCTCTGCTCCAACTCCTTGCCACATGTAAAGACAAATTTCTCTGCTGTAATGCTTACAAAAAGAGGAACTCCGAGTCAGGAAGAGCACAACCACACAGAGACCTCTCCAGAACCTGCATAAAACACTCCAGAAACACACACCTTAAGGCAGGTCTGAAAAGATAGACAGTGTATCATCTCTTTCCTTCAGAAAAGCATTGAATCTCAGAACCAAAAGAAGGTTTCCCAAAACTAAAATGTTCCAATTCATAACAGTACCATGGTACTCCCTTGGAACTGTGGCCTGGATGCCTTTTGCTGCCATCTTCCTGTGCCACACCACCGCACAGGACAACAATGATATGCCTGCTCCTTCCCCACAGACAGCCTCTTCCAGGAAGATGCCAGTCCCCAGAAGAGACAGGAGCACAGGGCACAAAGGAGAGTCTCCATGAAACTGCTGCACTATTTTTAACTGAAAACCAAAACCAAACCCCTTATTTTTCTAGCAAATTCTGCAAAGTGTTTTTCAATATTATTTTCCCTCTTTAGGCCAGATAACCAGGATATTCAAATCCAGTGTGCTTTGAACTGAATCAGGAATTAAGGTCAGCTAGAAAATGAGCGTGCTAACTTTTTGTCATCAAAACTGGGCTTTTAATAAGTTATTAACACCATGCACCCATCCCACAAGAAGCAATTACTTTTCTGACCACACAGGATAACCCTGGGATCATGGAGTTCAGCCCGAGGATGGGAACCAGCCTTCTGCTTTTGTCTCAAAATAGCATCATCATCCCAGAATATATTTCAAGGAAGGCAGGAGCAGAGTTAGTCATAAGCTTTCTGCTCTGAAGTGCAGAACAGGGAAGAACACGGAAGAGAAAGCTCATAAATCAGCAGAATGGATAAAACTACCCTTGATCTGCTTGCCATTTGCTAATATTTACACGAGAACCAGGGTGGAACTATTTTGTTTCAGGCTCAGCGTGGCAAGCATTCATTGCATCTGAAGGTGCTGACAAGCACAACCTGTCAGCAGAGCCAGATCCAAACAGTTTCATACTAATCCTCCAGGAAGATTTTGATTCTCCAAGCTACTTCTAATAGGATTTTTCCAGATTTTCCCAGATTGTTTGCCTCCAACAACAGCCCAGAGAACATTACCCTGTCTGATTCTCTGAACAGTTAATGTTATTAATTATTGACCAAGAAAACTGAACAAACAGCTTCACCCCAGAGCCCAGATCACAACTCAGGCCCCTTTGATCAACTTCATAAATCCTGCTTCCAGGAGATGAGACACCAGTGAGTCTCAAAACTATGGGGCAGCAAATCCACTATCTGGAGCCGTGCTACTAGCTCTTCCAATGCCAAGAAAGGCATTGTACCACATTCTGTGTGTGGGACCATCACAGGCTTTCAGATAAACCAGCTACTTGTGAAAATTGGCCAGGAGCAGCCAACAAGAGAAGCTTCTCTGAGCTGCTTCTGCACTATACAGAGACACAACAAGGACAAAGCGCTCACTAGAAACACAAATATAAACCATGATGGGGAAGAGATCTCTTTCAGAATGCAGGCACACCTCCCAGTCAGCCATCATACCACTCCAAAATCCTTTCAGGAAGTCAGGTAATTCTTCATTTGCTATCCTGGACAGCATGTCAAACAGCTGCATTCCAACAGCCACTGAGACACACCTCCACTAGAGTGATACTCTACTCAGAGAGCTTGGGAAAAAAACATATCATGTTACCTCAGAACAGAAATCCCGCAGAAAGACTGGTGCTCATGTCAGGAGGCAGCACACAAAGTACATCCTTGGTTTGGGCTGACATTCCACTCTTATCAATGTCTCTGATCTAAACTCTCTGCTAAGCACTTTGTCTGAAGCTTTGTCTGAAGTGAACAACAGTATCATTTAACTCACCAGCTCCCAGAGTCCAGAAACACCAGTTACCTCTGCCATTCACATTCCAAATATTCTAGCTATTATCACTGAAATGGTGGAGTCCACACATCTGCCCTTTCCCAGTTCCAGCAGTACGGAGACCAGGGTGCAGACCTCTATAAACCCCAGTCGTGAAACTCCAGCCCCATGGAAAAGAAAGTTAGTAACACATTTGCAAATGAAAGCATTTGTGACAAATCTACAAGACATAATGGCCCAAACGCTAAACACCTGCCCTGTCAACCTGAGCAGCCAGAGGCACACAGGAGACAAAGGACAACAAAGTTTTGAGTTTGCCATTATCATTTTGTTCCCAAAAAGATGTAACATGAGAGGTTAGGAGAAAGAAAGCTCATTCTAGAAGACAGCACAGAGAAGAATGATGTCAGGACAACTCTTACCAAGGTAAGTGCCTGAGAATCTTCCCTCCGTGGTCAAGCCCTGCTGCAGAACAACCCTGAATCAGGAGGATTCCAGATTGTGCCTCTGCTTTGCTGCAAATTCACATGTGGGGCAGGGACCAAGGCACAGAGAAATGGCAATAGGAGGGGTAGGACGTGGCTACAGGTAATCAAGGAGGAAGTGTGAATCAAGTCACAATAGGTTGAGGAGGAGCTTTTTTTTTTTTTTTTTAAACAAGGAACACAAGACAAACTGGGATTACCCTTCCCTCAGACTTACCACAGCAACCTAAAAACTACCCTCAAAACTCTTTCTTATGGAGGTCCCATCAGTAAATCGCCAAGGGTTAGTATAATTAAAATAATATGGATAAGACAACTACACAGAGAAAATCCAAATGCTTGTGACCCTGAATGATCAGGTCTTTCCTTGCAGTGGGCCATAGGCCTATTCCCCCTGTTTCAGATTTCTGTAAATGCTGTTTCTGGACAGGATGGCAAGCTCTGGCCATTCAGATATAAGAGAGTGGCCAGACCTACTGTGGATTACTCAGTCAGCTGAGGACCTTGCAGCTGTACTGCCATAACTAGGTAATTTCTGTGGCATTATCATGCAAGAACCACATCTTGTGCTCAGGATACAGTCAAGGGCCACATCTAAAACAATTCAGCAAAAGCAACCAAGTCCTGCTAATAATATAATCAAGACAACAGCCAAGAAGGAATGCAAGTTTAACAGAGCTCAACAGAAAATTACACATATTGCAATCATTTGAGAAGTTTGGCGCTCCTTCTCTTTACAATGCCAGTTGTCATTGCCACGTGGGCCTAGCATATAGCAGATGTGCCCCCACAACCCCATTAGAAAGACCATTCCTCAGCCCAGCTGCAAAGACATCAAAGGTGAAAAGAGAAAGACCACTACCTGCTACTTCCACAATGTGGTGCCTGGCAATATCATAGTAGGGATCATCCCACCGCAGGTGAGTGACGGGCTCAGGGGAGCCTTTGGAGTCCTCTGCGCAAAACACAAGGAACAAGCAGTTAGAAGAAGGGATCTGGAGCACCTTGGCAGGAGGTACAACAGAGATAAAGGGATGAGAAAAAATGGCTCTTCAACATGGGAGGAACTAATGTATGCACCTGTCTACCTCAGAAACCCACCTTTGATATTCTGAGTGGGCAAGAGCAGCAAAGACTTCAGAAGAGACCTGTCAATCCTATGAGGTCAATACGTGTCCCTCAGACTGTCCACCCTCTCAAAATGACTGTTCAGATGTGTCACAAACAGGCACAAAGACCAAAGCCCAAGTGCCAAGAGCACCATCACAGCTTTGTAGAGCAGGAGGATCTTAACATGGTCCCTTGACGGATGGCCGTCCTATATGCCCTTGAGTTAATTTCCCTGACCTCTTTGGGCAGCAGTCCATTTCAGCACAGGATTTCAGAGCAACAACTCAGATCTCCAGCCTCACCTCCCACATGGAAGTTCCACTCAGGAAGGCCAAACTATCCTGCAAGAGACCATAATAGAGGACACTCAAGGACTTCCAGCATGTCTGTACTGTCAGCACCGAAGTGCATCCAGCCACAGGACTGAGAAGAGTGTATTTACGTCAGCTGGCTCCGAGCTTTTTAGCGCTGTTCAATGGCAGGGCTAATTCAATTGGGTGTGGTGCAAGATTAATGCGTCTATAAAGCTTTCAAATGGAGCTAGGGCTCTCTGTATACATAGATATGACCACAATGCTGCAGGACAAACAATTCCTTTTTGACCAAAATCCAGACCCCAAACAAGCAGCATACTTACCTGATTTGGGAAAAGCAGGGGCTTCATCTGCTGGCCAGCTCTTATCATCTATGGAGGCCAGTTTGAGCTGGCTGAGGGACTGGTTGGTATCATCCAAGTTCAGGTCATCCTGAAGCTCCGAGAGTGGGTCTGTAGCCATGGTCCCCAAGTACCGCAGTTTATTTTGCAGCGTCTAGAACGAGGACTGCAGGGATTGCTGGGTGAGACACAGAGATCGCAAGTTTACCTCCCCATAGAGGCTCTTCCTCTTCTCACTGGTTTTCCTCAAATCCTCCCTTATCTTTACTTATCCAGAGATCATACTTCCCCTCACCCTTAACACAGGCAGGAACTCCTCCTCCAAGCCAGGAGCACTGACATATGTCAGACATATGTCAGATTCTTTTGTGCCAACTGCTATCAAAAGGCCATCAGGAGCCTGTACCAACCCTCTCAGTGAGTCTCTGCTTGACCACAGCTCTGTCCAGAGTAGTTTCTCCCCTGAAACAGGAGCAGCAGCAAGGCACTGAGGAAGGCGACAGGCTACACCAGCCCCTGCCTGATACACTCACTGTACCAGCTCTGAGCTCGCCCTCCCTCCGAAGGGCTGGCACAAAGCCCAGCTGTTTCCACAGTTGGCCCAGTGCTGGAAGCTTTCCCAGGAATCACCCCCGCCCCCTTCTCCCCATAAGGGAGGGCCAGAGCTCTCAACAGCACTGAAGTGGGTGCTTCAGTGTGCTGGGATCTGAACACAGACGTGAACAGCTTCTTAAAACAGGATTTCGTAGGCTGAGCTAGTGAGACAGGGAGAACAATACACATACAACCTTCAGCTCCTTTCAGCATCACCCAGCAAATCCTTTCTCCTACATGACAGCAAGCAGCAAGGAATCACCTCTTTAACTTAAAGCCATATTGCTAGAATGAGTATTTTTCACCAAGCATGCCATAATACTCAGGAGACCAAGGAATTAAGAGGGTCCAAGAAACAGACAGCTCATTGTGTCTGCTCTTGCTTGCAAATATTTCTCACTCTCACCTGGAGCAGAAGATACGTCAAACCCAGGACTGAGCTAGCACAGCATACAGCATCTCTTAAGGGTACCAGTTCTTAGGGATGACCCCCTTGGAAACAGCTGTTATCCTCTAATGACAATGTCCTGGAAATAAGCAAGGAAACACTGGGAAGGACAAGTATGTAGATCTGGATTGCTCACATCGACCACATGGACAACAGGCAGCAAGCCAAGAGGAACTGTAGCAAAACAAAATGACACCTTGCATCAGCAAGACTCTCTGTAATGCTGTTTCTCAGGCAGGCTTGTGCTTGTTTTGCATTACGAGGAGAGCAAAGGGTTCAAAGATGATCTGAGGAAGCATAACGCCTTTGTGTGGAAAGAATCTATTCAGAGTAAAGTTAGTTTATTTAGCAGAATGGAGGGGGGCAGCAATGTTTTGCATCTTCCAGCCCTAGAGCTTGAATGTTTATATTTATCCAGAGAAGATGATGAAACAGTTACTTGGAGGTGAGCACAGAAGACAAAAACTGTGAGAGACTGAGCATCGGAAGGCATCACATCCATACTTGGGGCAACACTCGTGACCAAGCTCGGGGATGCATTTTGAGAGTACAGGTAATTGGATATTCAGTGTTTGTCCCCTCTCTCTGGATCACTCCATGCTTATTACTTCCTGTCCTCCCTTATCTGCTACTTGGTTTACAACCAATTTTCACCCCTCTGGGGCTCCCAAAGGGCTTGGAGCTATTGCTAAGCAAATTAAGTAAGTTTCCCAAAATATGAAGGAGCAAGACATGTATGGGTAGCGGATAACCAAGACAGCACAGCAAACACACAGGGTGTGACCACTGCAGCCAAGCAGAGACCCAAGCAAAATTATTCCCTGCCCTCCAGTGAGGGCCACGAGAGCTGTCTGACCTCCTCTGATCTCGAAGGGACAAGGAGCAAGAAATCTGGTTCCCTTGCACCATGAGCTCATGCTGAAACCACGCAGCAGCGGAGCCAAGGGACAAGGACTCCCCACCCCTAGCAGCTGCTCTGATTTCTATGGTAACGCCAGGCACCAACTCCTATGAGTCAGCGCGCTTAAAGCATTCCCCACTGCAGCTCCGCAGCCCCACAACCCAGCACCCCACGCTGAGGAAGCATCCACAGCCCGCCAGGGCAGCCCCTCAGCATTCCCAGCTCCCAGGGACTTTCCGGCCCTGGTGGGGACAGAGGACCTACATTCAACTGCTGCCATCCACTGAGATGCCTTTCATGTGAGATTCTTGGGGAGGCCCAGTAGCAACAGTGTCCCCAAAGCGAGGTCCTGAAGCACTTAGAGACCAAATCCAAATCTTCCCACAGAGCAGTGATGGTACTGCCACAGGGCCAGCAAGACACCAAGCATCCTCACTTGTCCCTACACAGATCACGACTTGGCTTCACAGTTAACTTGCAGCACTTGATCAGAGGCAGAAGAGCTGGTTAGTGGACAGCACTGGGGGATTTCCCCTTAGGCATAAAATTAATCCTAGGGTGGCACCATGCGGAAGAAGGAAGTCTCTAGTAGGATCCTTACAGTTCCACGCTGGGAAAAGAGCCCAGTGGATAGTGCTCTTGCCAAAACCTTCCTTACCCCTTTGAAAGGCAGACCAGACTCCCCAGATACCTCCATGTGCTTTTCACAGCCAAGCACAGGCAGGCGGATTCCTTGGCTCTAGGTTAGTGCTCCATGGCAGAAATGTTAATGGAAGGAAGACCCAGAGCAGAAGACCTCTTAGATTTCAGGTCCTTCTTGTGAACCAGACTGTAGCTCCCACAGAGCTCTAGAAGGCTTTTGCAGAATTTTCCCCAGCCCTTTCCCAACAGTGCAAAAGCCAAAAGCATCGGGTCTCACATCGGGTAATCCTAGAACAGTTTAGAGAAATATAATCCTCTAAATGCCTGGGAACTAGCAGGCACTGAGGAGGAGAGACCTGGAGTTAGGATGTAAGAAAATACTTGGAGATCTTAGTATATGGGTGTACATTTTACCTACTGACAGTGCACCTGCATGAGATTTTTCCCTGTGTACTCAAAAATGACCCATAAGCAGGACCTGTCATTGAACAGAAAGTATCAGTATAAGGGTGACACGGTTGTCAAGAAGCAGCATCTCACCAGACATAACACAATTTAAGAACCCCACCTGTTTCAGAGAAATGTCATGACAAGATGCAAGTGACACACCCTGTATAGTTAATCATAAGGTAAGAAAAATGACGTACCTAGATTTAAAAAGTAAAAAGCCTAATCAAACATTTAAAAACTAAAGAATCACACCTGACATCAGAAGCATTTACTAACTGCCAGGCTCTAAAAAGCCAACTGTTTCCATTTTTCCAAGCATTTAAGTATGTTTTCTGCACCTACACTGGTTGACCTGAACACTTGCTGTCTGATAAAAATTTACTTTCTTGATCACATGGATATGTGCTGTAGAATAGCGCATTCTGCTGAAGGAGAGAAACCTCAGCACTTTAAAATACAATTTTCACGCAAATTCTGAGCTGGAGACTCTTTATACAAGATCCCACCAGAATTTACCCAGGGAAGACAGTTCACTTGTATCCTATGAAGTCTTGGTAGCTGCTGTTCATGCAGACTATTTTTTTCTGAAATTCCAGTGTCACTACTTTTCCATCATTTATTTCTAAGCTGCACCTACTCGGCAGTTTCCTTTTCCTGTTTTTCTTCCAGATGTACTACTAATTCAGAAGTAAATCTACACATCAAAATATGTCCATGCATGTATTACCACACCCTGGACCTGTACTTGCACACAATAAAGAATTACAGAAGCCAAGTGGCCTCTTCTTCCCTGCCTGATTAACAAGCAATGCTCAGACCCAAAGGAATCCCAGTTGTGGGGTGACTGTATTATTTTTCTGACTCCGCTGCCATCTGCGCCTCCTCCCAGTTTTGTTTCATTTGCACAAGTGCCGGTTTTTCTGTACACAGGAATCAAGTCCCTGCACTTTGCTACAGTCTTAACATCAAGCACATTGCAAAAAAAAGGAAGCAGTTACTCAGCAGCAGACCTTCAAAGTCCTCACTCACGTGAATGAGCCCTAGGACTGAGACTCACAGAGAAAGTCCAGCCTAAGTCTTCCCTCACATCAAGACTGATGATACCACCGAGAGCATCACTATCCCGGTACTACCCTGAAAGAATCGAAGGGTCAAGAGCCAGACCGGCTTTGTCTGGCACACCATGACCGACTAACTCAGGACAGACACATTATTGCTTGAGGGAAACCCTTTGGCCCTTCATGATTGTAACCACTTTTTAAATGAGCAGCCTTCCTTCCTCAGTCATCTCAAACCCTTTGCCGAAGGCCAGCTCCATGCCCGCTGGAAATCCATCCCAGCTAGCAATCAACCTCCTGTTAGTGTGTCTCTGCAGGGTCAGAGAGCAAAAGCGCAGAGCTCAGCTTCCTCTCTCGGAGCTCTCACACAAAGAACAGAAGCTGCTATCAACGCTCTCACACAAAGTACAGAAGCTGCTATCAGCGCCGTGCGGGATCCACCCATCACACATGGAGCATGTGAGGAAACGGGGGCACGCACAGCCCTACGGGGCCTGCACCTCTCCTCCTCCTCCTCCTCTCCACCGTACGGCTGGTTCTCTCCCGCTCCCTTTAGACTGAGCTCCTGTGACAACCCAGACCCAACTTCAAGATTCCAATAAGAGACTCAAAGATTTGCTGTTTACACTGTTCAAAGAGAACACCAAGTTCCCATGGTACCTGCCAGCCAACGGAGGGACATTCAACAGCCCCTGCTGTCAGGCACCAAAAGGGAAGGGGAGTT